ATCGGGGGATCTCCCATGATGCACTGAGCTCCTCTCTTCCTCTCTCTCTCTTTCTGCACTCATTCATGTCCCAAACAGTTTCTCTTGGCCAAAAAACACCAAATCCTCCTCCTTACAAAGCATAACAAGCTGTATGGGCTCTATTGAGGACCTATTATGAGGAGAGATCTCCTGACAGTGACATGTAAACAGCAAGTTGCTTATGCTTTTTTCTCCCTGAGCCCAGGGGATTTACCACTTTGAATGAGTTCTGGTATAGGATAATGGATACCCAAGACGCACTGGGTTGAAAAATGACCTTACTCTTAATGACCTGCCATCCCTTACATCCTCCAGCAAATGTGGATCATGTGATTTTGCTGTCTTTGCTTCAGTGTATTGTAGTTTCATAGACTCCTGACTCATTAGTGCTTTTATTGTTTCTGCAATTGGCACATACTGACTAAAACAGTCGTTTCCTTTTGAATTTGTTCCTAAATACACTTGTTTGGGTGGCACATAATTATTTTTCAAATAAGTACCATCGGACCGGAAAACTCCCTCATTATATAATCTTAATAGATTAGTTTTGTTTATATTTCCAATTATGTTGTTAATATCAGTGACAGAAATATTCAATTTCATTAATTCATCTCTAAGAGAATGAAACATGTTCTCCACATTACTATCATGAACTGTCTGAAACTCTTCAATCAAACACTGTATAGTGGTAGCTGGAAGAAGCATTTTTGCTTGCATTCTCAAATAGAACAATGCCAGATTGGTCAGAAAGGTGCCCTCTCCCTCATTTCCTTCAGGCTCATCAATCACTCCTTCAAAATGTGTACAATTCTCCTCACAGTTGTCCCTAGTCATCTGTGAGGCATCATTACCAGGTGGGCCTACTTGAACAGGGTTTTCTAAACACTGCGGGTGTTTTCTAGTGACGTGATGTGTAGGATGATCTAATTCGGAAATGCTTCTTACAGTTCTCAAAGGGACATCTGACAGACTTCCCATCTCTGATGTGCCACTTTAAATGGTTGTACAAGCAGGGTAAATTGTCAAATGTTTGCCTACATCCCTCAACATGACAAATTACCTCGCTTGACGGACCAGCCCTCACTGACAAGGAGCGCTTAGATGGTGGGGAGTGTTTCCGACGCATGTGTGATTTCAAGGCGTGGAGTACGCGGACATGTCTGCAAACCACAACCAAAACTAAAATTTGCGAGATTACAATGCATTTTTACATGCTGATAAAATCTCGGAAGCGTTGTTACATTGATATTACACGTTTTTTAAGGCACAACCAGAGGAGCAAGGCCATGATGAGGGACACCATCGCCAATGCAGTCCCGGGGCCCAGCGCTCCCCAGACTGCCACCATCAGAGGGCCGCTGGCCCCGGAGCTCTATGACCTCATCGTCGCCAGCTCCTCCACTGCCTCCTCCTCCTCCTCATCAGCCACCCCACAAGCCTCCACCAGTGCCAGTGCAGACGCCATCCCGTCCACCAGCACCGGCGCGGAGGCCGGTGTCACCCCCTCCACAGCCACAGCCGCCACTGCTCCACCAGTGCCAAGGAACACTGCCTGGAGGCACAAGCTCCAGGAGGAGAAAGAGCGTCGTGCCCGGGAGCTGGGAGAACACTTTAAACCAGCCAAGAAGGTCTCCCACTTCAACTGCAGGCGCTGTGGCCAACCGAAGACGCGGGAGTTCGGCCACAGCCGCTACAAGAAGGAGACCTTCTGCTCCCAGGCCGAGGGGAAAGGTCCGTTTACCATTTACCAACTGTGGAGCAGTGGCTAGCAGAGGTGAAGGGGCGTGATGGAGCAGCTCCCCCTCCCTGAGCGAACACTTTGTGTGTGTGTGTGTGTGTTTGGGAGGGAGGGATGTGTAAATATTGTGTATATAGTGTATATAGTTTGTCAATTGTGTTTGCTAAATAAATATTGTTTATATAGTTCTTTTATATAAGATATTCATTTATTTGTCCCACAATGGGGAAATTCCAATATATTCATATAGTTGTATATAGTTGTATTAATTGTTTTTGTTTTAAATAAAAAATTCTTTTTTAAACCAATGCTTTCTCCTGTTTCTTTCTGCCTTTAAGAAATTAAATAACTAGAGGGAAAACTAGGTATCTAGACTAGGTGCCTGATATCACTAAATCCCCTCAAATTACAGTCACACAATACATCATTTCCTCTCCTAACTTAAAACTATGGTCAAGGGGTCAAATCAGGGTCAGGTTCAAAGGTTTACCTAGAGACTAGGTGAGAATGGGCCTCAAATGGTTGTAAAACAATGGGGTGCCGAGGATCCTTCACTTCTCCTCCTGAAAAGGCCACCTGATTAAAACAATAGGGGGTTATCTCCTGCGAGAACTTGGGGGTTTGACCGGACTGAGAGAGGGCCGGACTGGTAGGTATGCTCTCTTCCCCCAAGAAGAGGGGTTTCAAAAAGGCAAAAAACCAACAGACAGTCATAATCATTCAAGGGCATTTTATTTGGGACCAGAATGGAAGGCAGAAAGAGGCATACGCGGAAAAACACAAACATGTCCTTCATTGTAGGGTTTGTCTTAAAAGATACTTTTTAAACTGCGTCCGGTGGTTTTTTTCTATGTAGCCTTGGACTAAGGAAAGGGTCACAAAAACATTAAATATTATGTTGTTTAAGTTTCTTTTAAAAATTGTACTGTACTGAGTTTCCAAGCACCTTATGGTTTTTCTGCTTCACTGGCACGCTTATATTTCTTATTTTTTACTTTGCACTACAATTCTTATACTGCTCTATTTAACATTTTTTATATGCCATTTTAATTGCTACTTTTGATATGTCTGGCTGTGGTTGCTTACTGGTGTGTAATTACTGCTTTGCCTACACTGCAATTTTTCCGCAGCTTGTGGGATCATATAACACATTGTTACATTTAACAAAACAGCGTCTCCTGCTTTGAAATTGGCGTGCGGTTGCCTTTAAGTTCGCCTTGGGATGATAAGTAGCCATGGGTGCTCGGGGGATTGGGGGACGTCGAACAACAACTTTTGGACTGACACATGGTTGGAGGAAAAGGGGGGAGGGGAAGGGGGGGGGGATTTTCAATTCTTTAGTTGCTAAAATCAGAAAAATACAAGGGGGAGGAGGACTCTTTCGGGCTGCATTTTTCACACACGCAGCCCAGTAAATGGTACTAGCTGGTGCCCGGAGGCCGGCCGGGGCGGCGCCACCGGCGGGGCACACGGGGGGCGCATGGGGCCTCGGGACCGGAGGAAGAACCGGGCTCCCTTTCCTTCTGGCGCAGGGTCCATGCTTAATCTTCTCTGGTTATCGCTTCCAAATTTAGTATATTGTGGCTCGCACCTGTAACAACAAACAGAAACCTGTCTCTGCGCGGGGATATACATAGGGGGGGGTTGTGGTCCGTTTTGAGACATTCCGCCGGAACTCATCGGTGGCCACTCAGACCCTTTGGAAACACGGCTCTCAGAGCCGCTGAGAACAACAGGAACCAGTGAGTCCCTGAACCTACTGCACCCACCAACACCCGAACTGGCCCACATCACCCGTCTGGTGCGTCCCGGGACGCCTCTGCCTGAGGAAGCACAGGGGGGGGGGCTGATGCGCGAACTTTATGCGAACAAGGCGTTACGTCGGGCTGCCTTGTAGTCTGTCTACCCTCTCTCCTCGCTCTTTACCGCCCACTCTCCCCTCCAACTAACCAACTCTTAACACCTTTATTTTTCATCGTATTAATCCTGTGCGCTGCCCCAGCTTCCTAATATATGCCTATCCTTCATTTCATACGTTGTCCAAGCCTGATGGCCTCAAACTGTGGTATCGGAGCGGAGCCGGTGTTTCGCTTCGTATTAGTACTCGATATCAAAAATCCACTTTGACATACTCAGAGAGTGCATACTGTCTATTCTAATATGTGGAGAGAAGTTTTCCGACCTCTCTGGGCACTTCTCAGGTTTTTCTTGTGAATGCGTGCTCCCAGTTCCTTCTCACCCAGATATCTCGTACTGTCTCTATGAACTTATTGTGAGAAGAGTCAAACTTGCTTACACAGGTTGATTATTATGTGTGCAGAATGAATCTGGGATGTCTCGTATGATGATGTCCTATGACCCTATTGGGCTTATTGCTAATATATCATTGCCTCCACTTCTTCAATATGTCTTTCTTTGTGTTCTTCATTAACTCTTTTCCAAAGATAACATATAATTTGTGCACATTCTTAATCAGGTTATT